GATACTTGTGTCCCATGTAAATGTTCACAAAAGGTGACTTCAGCTAAGGAGTTCAATAATCAAGGAGATAAGATGACCCATGCTGTGGATAGTCACACTCTTTCCCCAGCCATTCCTATCATTGCCCAATGGGCCCAAGAACAAAGTGGCCATGGTGATAGATATGGGGGCTATGCATGGGCTTGACAGCATGGACTTCCATTCACCAAGGCTGACCTGGCTACAACTGCTGCTGAGTGCCAGATCTGCCAACAGCAGAGACCAGCACTGAGCCCCAGAGATAGCACCATTCTCTGCAATGACCAGACAGTGACCTGGTGGCAGCTTGACTAAATTGGACCACTTCCTCCATTGAAAGGATAGCATTTGTCCTTATTAAAGTAGATACTAATTCTGGTTATGGATTTGCCTTTCCTGCATGTACCGCTTCTACCAAAACCATGATCTGTTGATTACAGAATGCCTTATCCACTGTCATGGTGCTCAACACAGTTTTGCTGCTGATTATCACACTGCACAGCCAGAAGTGCAACAGTGGGCCCACAATCACGCAATCCACTGCACCATGTTCCCCACCATCTGGTGGCCTGACAGAAAGATGGAATGGCCTTTTGAAGAAAGTGATAGTACCAATTAGGTGGCAGCAGCATGGAGGGTTGGGGCAGGATTCTCCAGATTTGAATCAGTGTCCAATATGTGGTAGTTTTTCCCATAGCCAGGATTCAAGGGTCCAGGAATCAAGGAAGTGGAAAGGTAATAGTTCCACTCACTATCACCCCTAGTAACTAGGAAAATTTTTATTTCCTGCTCCCTCAGCCTTAAATTCTGCTGATCTACAAGTTTTGATTCCAGAGTGGGTAGCACTCCTGCCAGGGGCCACAACAAATATTCCACTGAACTGGAAGTTCAGATGTTCCCCTGGCCACTTTGGCTAAGAAAGGAATAACAGTGTCAGGACGGGGTGATTGATTCAGATTACCAAGGGGAAATTGAATTGTTTTTCCATAATGGAGGTAAAAAAGATTTTTCTGGAGTACAGGGGATTCTTTAGGGCATCTCTTGGTGCTACCATATCCTGTGATTAAAGCCAATTGGAAACTACAACAATCTATCCAGACAGGATGAAAAAGGGCACAGACCCTTCAAAAATGGAAGTTATGGGTCACTCCTCCAGGAAAAAGGCCAAGAACTTACTGAAGGTGGAGGAAATACAGGATGGTTATTAGAGGTAGGTAGTTATAAATACCAGCTAAGGCTTCGTGATCAATTGCAGAAATGAGGATAATTGACATGAGTGTTTCTGTCATATTTTGTTTTTGTACAGATTGTATTTTCTTTCCTCAATTTCTTTATCATGCAATGCAGCATCAATTAAAAGAATTATCAGTGTCGGGCATTGGTGGCACATGCCTTTAATCCCAGCACTCCAGAGGCAGAGGCAGGTGGATCTCTGTGAGTTCGAGGCCAGCCTGGTCTCCAGAGCAAGTGCCAGGATAGGCTCCAAAAGATACCAAAAGAATCTTAATGTCCCTCAAGGGACATTGCCATCTATTCTAACATTCATATTGCATTTGTGGTTGTATGTTGGATAGTTTCATCATGTCAGGTGTGTTTATAACCTGCTTATTATCATTTGGAAATTAATCATAGCATATATGATTGTGTGCCAAGTTGACAAGGGGTCAACTTGTGATGGCTATTGGTTGTCAACCTAATTACATGTAGAATTAACTAAAACCCAAGCAGCTGAGTAAACCTGTGAAGGATTTTTTTTCTTAATTAAATCATTTGAAATGGGAAGACCCACTTTTAGACAGAATCTCTTGAGGTGGGAAAATACACCTTTAATCCAGATCTTTTTGGGGTGGGATCCACCTTTTAATAAGGGCCACACCATGCCGGGCGTTGGTGGCCCACGCCTTTAATCCCAGCACTCGGGAGGCAGAGGCAGGCAGATCTCTGTGAGTTCGAGGCCAGCCTGGTCTACAAGAGCTAGTTCCAGGACAGCCTCCAAAAGCCACAGAGAAACCTGTCTTGAAAAACCAAAAAAAAAAAATATATATATATATATATATGGGCCACACCTTCTGCTGGCAGCCTATATAAAGGACTTGGAAGAAAGATTGCTGTCTTTGCCTGCTTGCTCTCACAGGTAAATTCCTTCTCTGGCACTAGAGCCTACTTCTTCAAGATTCTGAGGACCAGCTAAGACATCCAGCCTCATGGACTGAATAACTCCTGGATTCTTCCTCTGGTAGACAGTCATTGTTGAATTAGCTGGGCCACAGCCTGTAAGCCATTTTCTAATAAATCCCATACATATATCTCCAGTCTATAAATTCTGTTTGTTTAGAGACCCTCACTAATACAACACATTTCTATTTATGTTTAATTCCATCTTTTTCTTATAAAGAGGACCTTGGGCTTTATATATCTCTGTCTCAAATACAAATCTATCTACATAATAACTCAGGCTAAGGGACTGGAGAGATGGCTCACCAGATTAAGAGCACTAGTGTTCTTTCTTAGAGGTCCTGAGTTCAATTTCCAGCAACTATGTGGTGGTTCACAACCATTTATAGTGGGATCTGATGAATAAAATAAATAAATTAAAAAAAAACCCTCAGGTTAGTCAATCACACCATTATCAATTCTGCTTCCTAAACTATACCATGGCAAAAATAGTAAGTTTGTGAAAGGATATGTAATTTCTCCTGTTCCTCTCCCAAAAGTTTAAAACAAAACAAAACAAAAAGTCTTTTTAAATATATTTTAAAGGGAAGAAGTTAGTTACACAGGTTTACACTGTAGGAAACAAATCCAAGAAAAGCTATAAGAAAAAAATATATAAAGGAAATATAAAATTCAGTACTACTTTTCCATATAACTTTCTCTTGAACAAACTTAATTATACTTAATATGATGAGAATTTTGTTCTAACTCCAACATTAGCATAGACCTGGCCAAAAGAATGCTTTTATTGAGCTAGGCAGTGGTGGTATATACCCTTAATCCCAGCACTTGGGAGGCAGAGGCAAGTGGATCTTGAGTTGGAGGCCAGCTCGGTCTATATACAGAGTGAGTTCCAGGACAGCCAGTGCTTCACAGAGAAACCCTGTCTTGAAGCAGGGGAAAAATGCTTTTATTTACATACTAGAAAACCTCAAATTTGCCAACCTACTTAGTATGTTCCAGTATTTTTCACACTTACTATTTGCTGTCAACTTAGTAGGACCTTCCTATCCATCCAGTTCAATAGAATGCAACCTGGCCGTTCTCATCCCGCCTAGCCAAACCCTGCTTTTCAAGAAAGAGTCAGCTTATATCCCACACACTTCAGAAATCCAACCTTTCCTGTATTAAGTCTCATCCATCTCCTTCACCTCTAAATTGCCAGAATCCTTACAAAACAAAAACATTTTTTTTATTTATATAACAGTAACTTCCCCAGTTTGTCTTGAAAATAAAATTGGTAGAGTTCTTGTTTAGCACACACAAACACCTGGGCACTGAGTCCCGAGCACCTAGTGTGGTAATGCAAACCCAGCACTCCGGCATGAAGGAAGGAGGATTGGGAGTTTAAGAATAGCCTATGCTACACAGCTTCTTTCAGGCCCATGCTGGGCTACAAGACCCTATCTCAACAGTAATCATCATTATTATTATCAGACACACAAAAAGGACAGAGTACCCCAGCTACTCCCCCCACCATTAGCACTGGGTTCAGACCCTAATACCACACTAACACACAAACAAAGAATCAACCATTTTGTCCTCAGGTATACTAAAAACCCTTGACTATATCATGTATCTGTATACATACAGTATCTAACATCAACTAACCTAAGCACACAATATACTCTCAAAGGCCAACGGGTTGGTGCAGTTAGCTAAAAGTCACAAAAATTTTAAACCAAAAATGACAACCTGATACTACTGAACAGACACTTTTAAATCAACAAATGGTCCACAGCATGATTGGGGGGGTGGCGCTTGACAGGTGGTGTAATACACGGAGGCTAGACACAAAAATATTCTTATTAGCCAGGCATAGTGGCACATGCCTTTAATCCCAGCATTGAGAGGCAGAAGCAGGCAGATCTTTGTGAGTTTGAGGCCAGCCTGGACAACATAATGAGTTCCAGGACAGCTAAGGCTATGTGGAGAGACCCTGTCTCAAAACAACAAAAGGAATATTTTTACTATAGTAGCAAATAGTTCTTTAGTAACTTGTATTTTTTTAATGAGAAAAAGTCAAATAAAGGCAAAGGATGTGAAGATACAAGATAAGGATAAGCCTGGAAGTTGGAGGGGAGAGCAAGCAGAAATAGTTTGGTGGGAGTCTTTGCTACTGAGAAAATTATATGCGATTACAAATCAAGAAAAAGGGGGTACGCCCAACTATATGATCTGGGTCACAACTTTCCTTCCCCTCCAACCTATAAATGTCCCAGGAAAGGAAGATAAAGAGGCAGAAAGAATAAATTGATTAATGAATGAATTAATGCCTGAATACTTATAATAAGGATAACATAAAACGAATTTTATATCCCAAACAGAAGACAATCAAAGTGGAATTAAACTCTGCCTCAACCATGTTGGCAGAACACCAAATTTACTTTCCTATCTCAGACAAAAGCGGTTGGTGGCGATCACATCTCTTCTCTACAATGCTACTTAATGGCAGGGCTATTTCCACCCACTTGGCCTCAGGTTCCTTCCTTAAAGAGCGCTTCATGCAAAGTGTAATGTAGAGATTGGAGAGCAGTGCTAGCACGAACAGTAGTTACCATCTAGGGCCCGACAGCCTGGAGCAGCCTCTGCTCCGGGATTCCCACGAATTCCGACTCCGAGTCGGAGGCTCTAGGCAAAGCCCAGTCACCGAAGGCCGCGCGCCGCCTAGGCTGTCAGGGCCTGCCCGGAGGATCCCTTCCCTCTCGGAAAACTGGAGGAATGGCTCCCGGGGCACCGCTGCTCCCCCTCACCTTCCCACCACTTACCCGGCTTATCCTTGCACCAACTCTAAGAAGCCAGCACTGCCCGTCCGCCTCGGAGCCCAACCGGTACGGTTGAAAATTTGAACTCAGGAACCCGGTCGAACGCACCAATCAGAGATCCGGGAACAGACAAACCCCGCCCTCTGATTGGCCTCAGAAAAATGCAGCGACGCCGGAAGTTAGGAGGCGGGACCAAGCTGACAACTGGCTTCAGGGAAATGTAGTCTCTTGCACGTATGGGCGCTCATTGAAACTCTACTACAAAACCCAGAATCCTCTGCTCCCTATTTGGTTTTGTTTGCGGTTGGGATGGGGTGCGAGGTTGTTTTGCTTTGAGAGGGCCTCTTGGAGCCCAGGTTTGCCTGAATCCTCTGTGTGACTGAGGATGACTTTAAACTATTTATCCTCCTGCACCCCCCACTTCCCAAATGCAAGGATTTCAGCTGTGTATCATCATGCTAGGCTTGTTCCGACTTAATTGGGAGAATTGGTACTAGACGGAGACCATTTAAGTAAATAGCGGTTAAATACATAACGCATCCTAGACCTATCTGAATTCACGGAAGGAAATTTTTTTACTGGTTTGGTTTGTGTTTTGTTTTGTTTTTAGGGGGGGAGAGTCCGAGACAGCGTTTCTCTGCATAACAGCTCTGGCTGTTCTGGAACTCACTCTGTAGACCAGGCTGTGCTCAGACTTAGAGATCCGCCTTCTTCTGACTCCAGAGTGCTGGGATTAAAGGCGTGCACCATCACACCCAGTCTGTTTTTAAAGGTTATTCTCTCCATATTTATTTATTGTGTTTCCCACAAGGAACCCAATGTGTTAGCCCTGGCCTTTGATCCCAGCACTCAGAAGACAGAAACAGGTATGAATCTCTGTACATTCTAAGCCAGTCTGGGTGCACAGTAAGTTCTAGACCAGCCAGGGCTCTAAAAAGAGACCTTGTCCCAAAAAACCAGACAGACAGACAGAAGGCCACAGCATCCTGCAGGCAGCACACACTTCCTTCCAGCTCTCCTCTGCAACTGTGGGTCTCCATATTCTGTCCAGTCCCAGACCTGCTCCAATGTAACTGGCTAAAAGCAAAGATTCTATGATTTCTTCTTTTCTTTTAAATTCAACTATATCACTGTCTTTAATGCTCATTCCTGTGTTTTAAAAGAGAAGACAAAGGCTGAAAAAAGGTTGAGGAATAAGCTGGGCAGTGATGGCTCATGCCTTTAATCTGAGGCAGGCTGATCTCTGAGTTCAAAACCAGAATGACCTGCAGCATGAGTTCCAGGACAGCCAGGGCTACACAGAGAAACCCTTTCTCAAAAAAAAAAAATGGTGGGGGGCAAATATGAGTTATGTACAATGATCTATATAGCATTTTATACATGTATAAAAGGCATAATGAAACACAGGTGGGGGAGGGAGCTAGGAGAATGAGAAGGGAAGAAGAGAAGGGATGCAGAGGACATGAGGGAGCAGAAAGGTTGAGTCAGGGGAAGAATAGAAGATAACAAGAATGGAGATACCATAATAGAGGGAGACATTTTAGGTTTACAGAGAAATCAGGCACTAGGGAAATGTCTGGAGATCTACAAAGATGACACCAGCTAACAATCTAAGCAACAGAGGAGAGGCTACCTTAAATGCCCTCCCTGATAATGAGATTGATGACTGACTTATATACCACCCAATAGCCCTCATCCAGCAGAGAAGGACAAGTGATGAGCAAAGGGGTCCAGACCAGGCTGGTGAAACCCACAGAAACAGCTGACCTGAACACCGGGGAACTCTTGCTCCCCAGACTGATAGCTGGGATACCAGCATGGGACTGATCCAGACCCCAGGAACATGGGTATCAGTGAGGAAACCTCAGAAATCTACAGGACCTCCTGTTGTAGTTCAGTACTTATCCCTAGCATAGGTGTGGACTTTGGGAGCCCAATTCACATAGAGGGATACTCCCTGAGCCAAGACACACGGAGGTGGGCCTAGGCCCTATCCCAAAGGATATGACAAACTCTTATGACCCCCCCCCATGGAAGGCTTCACCATCCCTGGGGAGCAGAAAGGATATGTGATAGGTAGGGTGTTTGTTAGGGGAGGTGGTAGGGGAGGAGGGGAGGGAGAGGGAACTGGGATTGACATGTAAAACAATCTTGTTTCTAATTCAAATTTAAAAAATGAAAAAAAGGAATTTTACTATAAAAAAAGAAACAGGTTATATACTAACTAAAAATTAAAGTTTGAGTAAAGTGATAACGTAAAGTTGATAAAGATAACGTAAGTGAAGGAGATAGTATTGGAACGTTCTTTGCATGTGTGTATGTGTGTACAAGTGTGCAGAGGCCAGAGGTCAACCTCAGGTGTCTTCTTCAATGGCTCTCCACCTTATTTTCTGAGGAAGGGTCTGTCTCTGAACCTGGAACTCACTGATTCATCTGACCTGGCTGGCAAGCCCCAGACTGTCTCCATCTCCCCAGTACTGAAATTATAGATGCTTATTTCTGTACATATGGGTGCTAGGGATTGAACCAGCACATGCAACAAGCACTTTACTGACAGAGTTAATTAGGCAATTAGAAAAATACTATCAAAAGGAATTTTTTAAGATTTATTTATTTATTTATCATGTGCAGCGTTTTGTCTGCATGTATGTCTGCAGGCTAGAAGAGGGCAGCAGGTCTCACTACGGATAATTCTGAGCCATCATGTGGTTGCTGGAAATTGAACTCAGGACTTACTGGAAGAGTAGTCAGTGCTCTTACCTGATATGCCATCTCTCCAGCCCCCAAAAGGAATTTTTAAAATACTCTATGTATTTATTTAAGACTATGTCTTGCTCTCCAGCCCAGCTGGCCCCACACCCAGGATCACAGCAGCCTACAGAATGAGAAAGTATCTTTACCAATTATAAATTTGATATAGAGTTAGCACCTAGAACACATAAAAAATTTTAAAAAGTTGAACATCAAGAAAACAAATAACCCAACTAAAAATTGATACAGAACTAAGTAGAGAATTTTCAAAAGATGAAACATAAATGACCAAGAAACACATTAAAGCAATGTTTAAAGTCCTTAGTCTTCAGGGAATTTCCAATTAAAACTACTTTGAGGTTTCTTCTTACCACAGTTAGAATGTCCAAGATCAATAAAAACTATGACATCACATGCTGGTGAGATGTGGGGAAAACACTCATTCATTGTTGATGGGAATGCAAATTGGTACACTCTTTATGGAAATCAGTGTGGTGGTTCCTCCGGAAACTGAGAATCAATCTACCTCAAGCTCCAGCTAGCTATACCACTCTGTGATATACCCAAAGGACTCTACATCCTTCCAAAGAAATAACTTGCTCATCCATGTTCATTGCTACTCTATTCATAATATTCTATTCTAGTCAGGAATTGGAAACAGCCTACATGTCCATCAACTGATGAATGGATAATGAAAATATGATACACTTATACAATGGACTATTATTCAGCTGTTAAGAAAAATGAAATTAGGCCAGGTGTGGTGGTGCCTTTAGTCCCAGTACTTCGGAGTCAGAGGCAAAAGGATCTTTGTGAGTTCAAGGCCAGCCTGGTCTACACACTGAGTTAGGACCACCAGCAGCATCCGAATTCTGCCACATTCTGCCAAGTGTGGTCCACGGCTACAACTTCAAATGGTATCTGTTCCTGTGGTTGACTGAACTGTTTGGGATGGATTAAAGGTGTGGCCTTATTGGAGGAGGTGTGTCACTGGAGTCAGTCTTTGAGGTTTCAAACATTCTATTCCCAGTGTCCACTCTTGCTATTGCTTTAGCTGACTGCTGCCATGCCTTCAGTCCACCATCGTAGACTCTAACCCTCTGAAACTATAAGCCCAATTTTTGTTTTGTTTTTTAAGACAGGGTTTCTCTGTGTAACAGTCCTAGCTGTCCTGGAACTCACTGTGTAGACCAGGCTAGCCTGGAACTCACAGAGATCCGCCTGCCTCTGCCTCTGCCTCTGCCTCCCAAGTGCTGGGATTAAAGGAGTGCGCCACCACCTCCCTGCTATGTAAGCACAATTTACCTCTTTGTTTTGTTTTGTTTTTAGAGACAGGGTTTCTCTGTGTAGCTTTGGAGCCTATCCTGGCACTTGCTCTAGAGACCAGGCTGGCCTTGAATTCACAGAGATCTGCCTGCCTCTGCCTCCCCAATTTACCTCTTTTTTATAAATTGCTTTAGTTATGGTGTTTTATCAACAATAAAAGCCCTAACTAATACAATCCCATTAACAGATTTTTGGGACACCAAACAGCTTCCCTAGGATCTCTCCACACCAGCATATCACAAGGTAACAAAGGCTGCAGCAGAATCTCCTAGCCTTTTTAAGTAGGATGGGAAGTGGCAATAGGTCCCAAGATGGCAGACAGATCAAGTTCTTTCCCTAATTTTTAAGATTTGTTTTTAATTGGGCATATGGGTTGGGTGTGCACATATGAGTGCAGGTGCCTTGAACTGGAGTTACAGGTGGTTGTAAGCCACCCAGAAGGGATGCCAGAAACTAAAGTGGGAAATTACCAATACGGAGCCAAATAGAAATATAAGGGTATTTAATAGGGAAAAGCCTTACTTACAGAGCGACCTAGCCAGCTGGTGCAGCAGCAGTCTATTCAGCAAGCCAAAAAGTGAAACTAAAAGTGAAATCCACCTGAACCTCTCACTCTACGTCACCCTGACCACGCCCTCACAGGCATGCACACCCCTAAGCGGGCAGCTTCTCCTACAATTCCCCTTTTAGTCTAAAAGAGGATTAAAACTTAACAGTGTAAAGTATCCAAAATTAACAATCATAAAGGTGAAATATAGGAAAGATTTATCATAACACTAAACCTGAGTCCTTTCCTCAAGAGCAGCACATGGTCTTAACCACTGCTGTGATTTGGATGGGAGATTTGAATACTTGGTCATTAGGGAGTGGTGCTACTTGGCAGGGACTAGGTGGTGTGGCCTTGTTGAAGGAAGTATATTACAGGGAGGGGGGTGTTAAATGCTCAAGCCAGACCCAATGTCTTTCTTTTCAGTAGCCTGCCAATCAGGATATAGAACTCTCAGCTACCTCTCCAGCACCATGTCTGTCTGCTTTCCACTGTGCTTCCTGCCATCATGATAACAGACTAAACCCCTGAAACT